AAAAAAAAAAAAAAAAAAAAAAATCAGACAATGAGGCAAGGAGGATCACTTGGGCCCAGGAGGTCAAGGTTGCAGTGAGCCCTGATTGCGCCACTGTATTCTAGCCTGGGCAACAGAGCAAGACCCTGCCTCAAAAAAAAAAATAATTTAAAAAGATAAATAAAAATAAAGAAATATTATACAGCTCAGTTGATAAGAACAGCCCTTACACAGTCACTATAATGTGAACACTGAATATTGGGCTAAACAAAATTCAATTTAACTCTATTGGGAGGCTAGGGCACAGAAGTAGTTCAGGGGTGGTAGGAAGTCAACACAATTTCAAGAACTAAGAATCAAGAGTCAAGAAGTGGCAATAGAGGCCTATTGTTTAGAGACATGGAGGTAAACCCAGCACCTCAGAAAACCACCAAAAGTTGGAAATAGCTGCCTTAGAAGATGGGGAAAGTAGAGGGAGGGACAGAGGACAAAGTGCTCATAGTCCCAGCTGCTTGGGAGACTGAGGTGGGAGGATGGCTTGAGCCCAGGATCTCCAGACTGTAGTGGGCTATGATAGCCCCTGTGAATAGTCACTGAACTGCAGCCTGGGCAACACAGCCAGACTCAATTATTTAAAAATTAAAATACAACAAAACACTATTTGTCTTTAAACTATGATGAAACGGGTGCCCTAGTCCTATCCACCTGCTTTCACCTGTCTTGGCAGGGCCCAGCCCACCTCCCCAGCGCCTCTGCAGCCCTCCCTGTGCCCTGCCGTGTTGCTTAAGCACCTGTCTCAACAGGCTTCCCTGTGCCGCCTGCTAACCTCACATCTCCCCACAGAGACATCTTAGGCACTGATGCCTGACACATGAAAGCACAATTTTTAAAAAACACATTGGATTCTTAAAAACGAAGATGTGTGGCGTAACCCACCTTGTGACTATTTTGAGGGGTGCTGTGTAAAGCCACATTCCCGAAGCCACCTGACTGATTACAATCTAAATTGAGCAATAACTCTTTTGAAAATTGATACACCATTTAAATAGGCCACTTGATACTTTTAATAACTCTCTCCTTTCCCTTCCTTTTAATGTTAACATTAAACATTAAGGCATTTTTACCTCTAGTCTCAGTTGTGCATTGGATGGTTCCTCTTCAACAAAATTTTACTCTCATGTTTTCAAATAGTAGTTACTTGCTTTAACACACACATGCACTTGCACACACATACATAATTATATATTGTCAATTTACAATACAAGGAAAAACGTCCTCTGCAACACACACACACAGATTTATACTACTTCTCAAATTAATTATTAGATTTTTAGTTTGGGTTTAACGTGGTTTCTTTAGACAAGCAAGAAATATAAAACATTTTACTTGAAAGGCTGAAAGATGAAATTCTTCCAACTTCAAAGTTAAAGATTGCATTCCTAAGCTAAACTGGTAAACATAGAACATCTCATAATGCACTTACTGAGCTGAGTGTGGTGGCACATGCCTGTCGTCCCAGATACTTTAGGAGGCCGAGGCAGGAGGAACACTTAAGCCCAGCAGTTCGAGGCCAGCCTGGGCAACACAGGGAGTCCCCCACCCCCGAAAAAATACTTTTCCAAAGAGTAGAAATTACAGCAGCTTTTTTATTTTTATTTTTTATTTTTTTGAGACAGAGTCTTTGTCGCTCAGGCTGGAGTACAGTGGTGCAAACTCGGCTCACTGCCACCTTAGCCTCCCGGGTTCAAGTGATTCTCCTGCCTCAGTCTCCCGAATAGCTGGGATTACAGGCCTGTGCCACCACATCCAGCTAATTTTTGCATTTTTAGTAGAGACATGGTTTCACCATGTTGGCCAGGCTGGTCTCGAACTCTTGATCTCAAGTGATCCACCCACCTCAGTCTCTCAAAGTGCTGGGATTACAGGCGTGAGCCACCACACCCAGCCAATTACAGCAGAAATTCTACAGTCACATAATGAGAGCCTAAGAAAGTGATTTCAAGGAAAATATCTCCTTAAAAACCTATCATTGCACTGCTCTGGCTTAGGGAGATCAGTTTCACAGCTACATTTTATCCTCCTCTCTTTTCCAACATATTTTCCTGCAGATTTTCCCAACAAAATCTGAGGCAGTACTCTTCCTTTTCTGTCCCCCAAAACTGGATTCTTTTTCTCACCTGAGTTCCCTCCCTCTACTCATCATAAAATTAATTCCACTCTACTTTTTTTTGATAACTTATTTTTTTTTTCTTTTAGAGACAGGGTTTCACCCTGTCACCCAGGCTGGAGTGCAGTGGCACTAATGTAGCTCACTGCAGCCTCAAACTTCCGGGCTTAAGCGGTCCTCCAGCCTGTCTTCTGAGTAGCTGGGACTACATGCGTACGCCACCACGCCTGGCTAAGACAGATCACTTGTTTTCAGTGGGAGTTTTAATTGTTGCTGCTGCAGTTATTGGAGGACCTTGAAATTAAAAGATTTTTAAGGGGTAGGTGGTGGAGAATTATCAATGTAACTGTTTCATCAGTTTTGCCAAGGGTGACATATTCTGAAAAGTGGAAATAAAGTATAGAAAAAATAGCAAAGCACTGTTTCAGATGACCATGTTATATTTATAACATTTAAACCCAGCAAAAATATCAAAGGAAACAGTTTTCAAAGCAAGTCATGAAAATTCAACTTAAAAGAATGTCAAACTGGCCAGGTGTGGTGACTCATGCCTGTAATCCCAGCAATTTGGGAGGCCAAGATGAGCAGATCACTTGAGGCCAGGAGTTCCCAGGCAACATGGTGAGACCTCACCCCCACCCCATCTCTTCAATTTTCTTTTTCTTTTTTCTTTTTTCTGGGGGGTGGGGGACAGAATCTCTGTCTCAAAGAGTCTCTGTTGCCCAGGCTGGAGTGCAGTGGTGTAATCTCAGCTCAGTGCAACCTCTGACTCCCAGGTTCAAGCGAATGTCCTGCCTCAGCCTCCAGAGTAGCTGGGACTATGGGTGCATGCCACCACGTCCAGCTAATTTTTGTATTTTTTAGTAGAGATGGGTTTTCACCATGTTGCCTAGGCTGGTCTTGAACTCCTGGCCTCAAGTGATCCTCCCACTTTGGCCTCCCGAAGTGCGGGATTACAGGCATAAGCCACCGTGCCTGGCCAAAAAAAAAAAAAAAAAAAAATTTAAATGTAAAACTGTGGGAAAGATTTTTTCCTTAGTAAAATGGGTTCAGAAGAAAATTGTCATCAAATAGCAGTACTTTAGAAAATCCCTATTTAAGGTAAGCTGATGCAGTAAGCCTGGGCAACAGAGCAAGACCCTCTCTCTAAAAACAAAAAGGAAGCTGAAAAATACTGGATGTTTCTATTAATTTGTTAGCCTTGATGTGTCTGACACATTAATTTGCCAAAGCAACTTGCAAGCAAAAGTCAGCATAATAAAAAGGAATGAAATATATCTCTATGTGTACTGACCTGGAAACACATCTTTATATGGTAGGGGAATTGCAGAAAACTACAATACGATCCCATTTGTGTTAAAGGATGAAAGACTCCCTGAAATTATACTTGTTCATGTGTATAAATGCACAGAAAAAAAATCTAGGCTATGTCCCATAATACTAAGATGGATGGGTTTGGGGAGATGAGTGGGATTAGGGACTGAAGTGCAGCTAGATCCTTTTACTTAAATGTTTACATTTCTTCACAATAGAAAATACATTCATATGTTACTTGTGAAATAATTCACTGTGTCTAGGTAGATGGACAAAATTGTCATGGATATTCATTCTCTACTATTATATTTGAGAAACTTTTGGGATAATCTTTAGGAGGATTTTGCTTTTTTTGCCTTTTTAAAGAGAGCACTTCCAGCAGAGGTTTAAGCAGCAGAAATCGGCCAGGTGTGGTGGCTCACACCTGTAGTCCCAGCACTTTGGGAGGCCAAGGTGGGCAGATCATTTGAGCCCAGGAGGTCGAGGCTACGGTAAGCTGGAATGGCACCACTGCACCAGCCTAGGTGACAGAGTGAGACCCTGTCTGAAGAAAAAAAAAGGCAGGGGGGAAAAAAGACATTGCGCTGGAGTGGGCAGTCTGGTTTCACCCGCCAGTTGTCTACATGCTGCTGAGCACCTTCACTCTAAACCAGTTTGGGATTATCTTACGGGAAACTATCCGAGATTTTTTTTTGGTCACCGCTTGGCTAGCTCCCAGGCAGACAGACCAGTCCAAACCAAATCCTACCCTGCTGAGGGAAAATTCTGAGACATGCCTTAGGCTGCACTTTGGTTACTAACCCTGCCTCTCTCACTACTCTGGAGAACTGTTTTCATTATTCTGTTGTAATTATCTGTTACTTGTTACTCTGCCCAACCTATGGTAATGCATTTCATATTGCAAGCATAACCCCCTGCATTAAAGTAGAGGGTGAAACTGGGCTGGCATTTGTGAATAACCAAATTCTATGAGATTAGTTTCCATAATCTTCCGTGGCTGTTGGGGCGGGGGGGAGTCAAACGGTTATCATTGTCTAGGACAGAGTAGGATGAAAACAACATCCTCAAGCATCTCCCAGTACTAGTATTAAAAAGGATGAGAACCAGCTTACAGAACTAGCCACAGAAATGTCATATGTGCACAAGAAAACCTGCCTAAACAGAGCTGTCTTTAAATTTTAGAAAAAGTAGTCATTCAGGTTTTACATAAGGGCTCATACCAGAGGTTTTGAAGATAAATGAAAGCACAAAGCCTTTATTGAATTGCAGATTATGAATAATAAACCAAGTGGTAAGCACTAGGGGCAGATGTGCATAGAAATGCAATTTATAAAATTTCCAAGGCAAATAATTGACATCTTTGAAGAAACTGTCGTTAGCTTAAAAAATCTTCCAGGTGTGCAATTCATTCATAGTTTTCATCACTGGTTGCCCAGTGATATGGCCTCAGGAAATGTTGAGATTTCTTAAATCATTTGTATCAAATATCTTTTTCTGGTAAATTCCTTAGTGTCTCTGCAGTGGTAACTAGACAAGACTGGAAAGTTTTCAAGATGATTCAAACCTCCAGCACCTCACAGGAGTCCACATTTCTTAACACAGAAGACAATGCTAATCAAAGAAGGAAATAAATGAAAAGGTTATTAAAAACAAATACTGGCTTCACCAAAGTTTCTAAATATACATATCTATGTATATTCCACTAAAAATGTTTAACCCAATAGTCCTTCACTCTTTATATCCAGAAACTACACTTGTTGTCCGTCACTTGTCACCCATAACAATGTGTGTTAAGGCAGGGCTGCTTTTTAGTAGTAAAGACTGGAGACTCATGACACTTCTAACAAACAAGCTTGATTTATTTTAGGATTGCAAGACTTTCAAAAGACTTTTTAAAAGTGACTTCTGCAAGTTTCAATATGCAAAAATCAGAGAGGATCTTAAAATTAGGAGATTAAGTTTAGGGACAAAAACAACATATTATGATAAATTGCAACTAAATATAAGAGGTAATAATGAAATGGCCTTAGGAAAGAGCTATGAATAGCACAGAACCCAAATTGAAAGATGAAGAAACATATTAACTCCAAGAATGTAGCTGATAACCCATCATTTCACTCTTTGAAAGGCATGGGCTAACTTCTAAGAGGCAAGTACTGAACCTCACCAAGTCACTGGCTTTGGGGAATGCTTTTCCAAGTCCCCCTTTCCCTCCCCTACCCAATTCTACCCCACCTCACCATTCAGGTTTTTGTTTGTTTTTTTTAAGAGACAAAGGTCTTGAACTCCTGGCCTCAAGCAATCCTCCCACTGCAGCCTCCCAAAGTGCTGGGATTACAGGCGTGAGCCACCATGCCCAGCCTGAGCAACTTGTTTACTTCATACTTTCTCACTGGTACTATATGCGTTGTTTCTAGGCATCTTTAAGATAAATAACATTCCCCCAAAATATGTCCAGACTGTCCTTAGGAGAGACCTTCCATGTTACCAGGCCACGCAGAAGCTGGTGTAGTGAAAGGTACCTCAGTGGTGAAGCCACAAGGACGTTAAGTTAAAACGTAGAACTAGAGATGATATGCAAATACTAATAAAAACGTTCACTGAAATACACAAGAGAACACCTGATTTCCACATCATTAGCTGTTCTTATTGACATAGCTAAAATATCTCTCAGTAAATTCAGGAGCTACCACAAATTTATAATAACCAAAGGGAATGCACTACATCCATCTCTCTGGTTCTGCCTCCTTTTCTTTCAGGCTACTAGGCTACGGACAAGGTTAAACTCAATAAAGTACACACTTAAATAGAAAATGTAAAGGCCAAACATTTTTTAAAAAACCAAAAACCTGAGAGACAGTAAAATAAACATTAGCAGTTTACTAACTAAAAACTGCCCTCAAATATTTAATTCTAGCTATCAAATAGATCAGCAGACTTTATAAGCAATTTTTCTGGTTAATAATTTTGTCAACATTCAATATCTACATATATTTAGCTCATTATCTTTGACCAAAAAAAAAGAAAAGTTGCTAATGGTGTGAAGTCAAGATGGCTCAGAACAAGATGACTGAGAAAAAGGCTTCCAGTTAGGTCGAGTTTTCAAATCATGTAAATAACTTCTGCAGTAAAATCTGGCTTGTTTCTTAGCTATGTTAAATATCAAGGAGCACATTAAAATTTGATCTTTAACACTTATTCTACCCACAAATGTTCTGACAAGATGGCAGGTAGCTAGTCTTGAGGGTCAGAAACCAAGGCAAGATGAACTCTTTCAAGGAATTTCACATACACATCTTTGTTCCCACTTTAATGCTGGAATGTTAACGTCACTCTCTAAATATTTTACTAGATGAACTATGACCCTGATGAAAATTACTATCAACAGTAACTACTAAATGTAACTTTTATATTCAATTAGGTTTGTTAGAGGCATTTATAGAATATTTTGCTCACCACATACTTAGAGAATGTGCCTTTCCAGTAACTGAAAAAGTGTAATGAACTAGGAGAAGAAGAATAGATGGGTAAGAATAAATTCTTCTGTTCATTAATTTTAATGTTTCAATATTTATCACAGCAAAATTGGGAATGTCTTTTTGATAGTTTACCATTTAATTTTGACTGTGAAGCAACCAACTGTCTAGAAACATTCTTGGTTAGTGACAGAAACATTGAGAAATCAACATGTTAGAATTCAAGGAACTGATCAAACTATAGATCAATATTAAAGTAAAACTGAGATGTAGTCATGACCAATAAAAATATCAGCAACATTTACCACTAATACCTCATAATGGTGATTTCTAACAGATCAACCTTAACAACTACACCTCCCAGTCGCTGGAGAGGGCTTTGCAACGAACATGTCACGGCAAGAGAATCCTGCACTTCAAGTGGTTATTACTCTTTTCTGACCCTCTAGTGTTTCCAGAAACCCCAAACACTAGTCCATAGGTTCAGGCAAACACAAGTACACTTACCATTTCATGGGGGAGGGAATGAGCAGAAAACACATGGAGATATATAAGGTTCCAGTGGAAAAAGACAATTAAAAATGCTCACCCTATTGCCCATGTTTTGCCCTGTGCAGATTTCATCTAGGAATACTGGAGCCAAATCAAATAAGCTAAATATTAATAAGGCTCAAAATGCAAGTAAAGGTAAAGTACACTCAAAATAGGCCAAAAATATAACAGAATCAACTGTTGAAGACTGGAGGGCAATTACTTATAAAAAACATAGGTCCTACAGATCCAAGCTAGATTTGAAAACTGAGTGCAACATCTCCAAACCAAACAAAGACGTTCAAAACCAGGCACTTTCACAGTCACCTTAAAGCTGGAGGGAAAAAATGGATATACTTTTATCATCAAAACATAACTCATAAGATTTTGTGCTGACACCTCACCAACCCATCAGCACCTCTAAAAAACAGTATTTAAATATTAATATTTCTAATGGCCAGGTACACATACATGACTGCCAGAGAAATGTCACCAGAGTGAGGCAGAATTTGTAAAATCCCATTCTACAAGTATTAGCAAAGGAAGGTTATGATTCATGGATATGAATGGACTATAATATATAAATGACACATTTCTGATATATTCACAAAATCTTTATAGAAAGTATTAAAACTCAAAAAAGAAGTAAGATAGGAGTCAAATAGAGAGATGAAATGTATAAAACAAATGAGCAGGCAAACTAAAAGTTATTGAAAGTATTTTACTTCAGATTGAAAAATGAACAGCTTCCACACTGTTCACTGCAAGATACACAGTATTCACGAATACAATGCTGGTCATTTGAGGAAATGTATACACACCTCAATTTCTCCTTCATGCTTTTTTCTTTTAGAAAGATACTGTTTACCAAAAAGAAACTTCAGCAGTACAGGAAAAACTATTTTCCCAATAAATTTACGAAAACCTAAGATTCCCAATGGAATCAAGATTATCTTCCCGCTACCACCACCTTAATATAATCACATGCTTATTGGAACACTAATATTCGCACCCTAAGAGTACATTTACTTTCAACAATGAGGGTGATTCTTTAAAAACAAACAAACAAAAAACAACAAAAAAAACTTCAGTGTGGTAAATGTAACATAGATCTCTGCAAGTATTAAGTGTCTGAAATAGGCAGCTAATACTGGATTTAATATTATTTTATAAATAATTGTTCCCTTAGCAGTAAACATAAGTCTACACATTCACAATTGTCCTAGAAAATAAATACTGTGATTATGCACAAGGTTATGACAAACTAGTTTCAAAAACAAAAGCTCAACATCTCGATAAAAATTCTGATCAGAATGTGACTCAAAAATTTAAAACATTGTCAAAATAACATCGCATTTAAAATCTTCCACAGTTTACACGAGTACTATGAGTTTCCAGTTTCGGAACACATTTTTCCATTGTGAATTAAAATATGAACATATTGAAAATTGTTAATTTCAGTGATGACATCAGTTTTGGTCTTACTTTAGCATTATTTTCTTTATAAAAAGTTACACTAAGTGTCCATTAATGGTCTGATTGGTCTTCAGTATTTCATAAATGTATATAAAAGAAACTCCTAAAAGCCAATAGTACTTTATATGTATATATATATAAAAGAATCTTGTCTCAGAAATGGCTGTATTTAACAGAGCCATACACACTGATGCTAAACATAAGAGCTTTCACCCTGAAAGAAAGCATTTTCAGAAATGTCACTTACATTCTATTATATTAAATATTCCCAACTGAGTTTCAAACTCAACAGGTAATGATAACAGAATTATACATCTCATTGCACTCAAAGCTGACTACAACCAAAATTTACAGTATGATTGAAACAAGCCAATGCTTAAAAAAGTTTTAATTAATGATAACAATTCCATGAAAGAAGAGGATAAAGAATGGGATGACAAGAAGTATTTGGTCTTAATAAGGCAATACAAAATAGATCCATTATCAAAGACCATTTAATTTGGAAAGATCAACAATACCAAAAGCATAAAGTGGAATATAAGAAAATAGTTTTTTATAAGTATGATTTAATTAAAGCTGTTTACAGTTATTCTCCCACAGTAGTTAAGCATGAATTTTAAAAAGAATAAGAGATGAGAAACAGGCACACGCAGCACACAGGGTTAGAGAAGCCAGCATGCAAAGTCTGTGGAACTCGAAGTTTCACTGCAACAGGAATGAGACCAGACATGGGTGGCCGTTTTTTTGTTTTGTTTTGTTTTTTTGGGGTTTTTTTTCCTATTAGGAAGAAATGGGGGGGAAAAAAAAAGACTGCAAAGGCAGCAAACACAAAGTCATGTAATTGCCCATTGCCCAAGACAACAGCACTATAGAAAACAGTTGCAAGTTAATTCTCAGAGATGACCAGAGATTTTTCAGTGTTTACACAAAGTACATAGTATTTTTTTTTTTTTTTTTTTTTTTTACAAAATAAAATAAACATCATTTGCCACCATAAACCTTTTCTTTAGAGAGGAGAAATTTTTGCAGCAGGACACAAGGGTTCTATTAAGTCATTTCAATGCTGAGAAAAACAAATTGAGTAATAGAACTAATCACTTCCCTATATATGGATGTTAAGATGACAATTTAGATTATTTTTCAAACTAATCCTGAGAAAAAATCTGTTTACAATTTAAACAGTAATGTTATGTAAAAAGTATTATTAACAAATCCACTATTACAAATATCAATTTCCTATATGGTCTTCTATACATACACACAATAAAATGGTAAATATATGCAAAAATATTAAAAAAAAAAACAAAACATGCACAGATCACTTTCCCCTTTGGAATCTGGACTTCCTATCAGATACCTTTGTTTTCCTTCCCCACCCCATCCTCTGATATTGTTTCTATCACCCTACCAACACTGAATACTATTCCCTATAACTCTGCATAAAGCCAATGAGAAATATATTTATTTTACATTCAAGCTTTAAATCTTAAAATGACCCTGTTGTAGCATATGACTTATCAAATAAGCAGCCTTTTTTTCCCCCTTTTATGCTTTTTTTTTTTTTTTTTTTTTTTTTTTTTTTTTTTTTTTTTTTTTTTTGCAGTTGTCAGTCTTCATGATCCATTCTGTGGCGAGCTGGGAAAAAACGCAGTTGCTAAATCAACGTCTGAACAGTGTGAGGCTCCTGAATGTCTCCCAGGAGTCCCTGCGCAACTGTCCTGAGCATGAGATCATTGCACAGAGAAGACAGTCCACCGCGCAGCGCCGACTATCTACAGAGGTCTGAGAGGGGCGCGTCCCTCTTGTGTTTCCTCTTTTTGCCATGGTAATACTGATTATTGGATTTGCCTTGATGTTGTTTGTTTGCCATCAAGGAACCATGGCTTGTTTGAGTTGTACCTTGGAAGCCTTTGCTGGAAGAACGAAAGAGCCTTGCTGATCCATGCTGCAGAAACAGAAAACGACCACAAAGACATCAGTACTGCAGAAAAGCATCTGGATTTGGGGCAGCTTTCAAAACTAGGAATATGCTGGCTAGAGAGTTACCTTACTGACCACTGACTTATCTAGTGGGCAGAAAAAGCTGTTACAGGGGTTAACTCTTTTTAGTTCTGAAACCCTTACTTTATTTTAATGGAAATATTAAAAAGCATAGACCACTCGCTTACCTTCTTAACAGTGTGTGTGGGATGTAAAGGTTTTCTTAAGAAACCTACCAACCCAAATACCACATCATAAGTCACATAGCAGGAAGAGGCTCTTGGACATGACAGGCACACGGGTAGGTTGGGGTCAGCACAGGTGGCCGCTCCCTTCCTGCTATTCATGGCCTGTGGCTTTCTCATGACCCCAGTCCCTTCTGTCAACCCTGTCACTTGAACTGGTATTTTGCAATGAGTCTGTGTCTGGCATACATGGCTAAAAGCCACGGAGGTAAAATGAACTCAGTGAGTCAAATCAGACACAAGGTAACAGCCAAAAGGCCTCTTCCCAGGTTCCCAGTTATAGTTAGGAGTGACCCAGCCTCAGGCCAGAGCCCCATATCAATGGCTTCCTCCCCTCACTCTGAGTCATTACACAGTTAATGACAATTCTAGGCAACAAAAAACTTAAACTAGAGTATCTCTGTGGCCTTTTAAGTCCAGGCTAATGTTAATCAACTGACCATGCCTGACAGCCAGCTGATCATTTCAACACTGGCAACAAGGTATTGAACCTTAAAATATTAGAAAAGGATACATTATTCCCAGACATGCACACTGCCATGAGGCCTCACAAAACCTTCATGCCAGCTTATTTCATGTACAATTGAAACATTTTTTTTTTTTTTTTTTTTTTTGAGACGGAGTCTGGCTCTGTTGCCCAGGCTGGAGTGCAGTGGCCGGATCTCAGTTCACTGCAAGCCCCGCCTCCCGGGTTCACGCCATTCTCCTGCCTCAGCCTCCCGAGTAGCTGGGAGTACAGGCGCCCGCCACCTCGCCCGGCTAATTTTTTTTGTATTTTAGTAGAGACGGGGTTTCACCGTGTTAGCCAGGATGGTCTCGATCTCCTGAACTCGTGATCCGCCCGTCTCGGCCTCCCAAAGTGCTGGGATTACAGGCTTGAGCCACCGCGCCCGGCCTCAACTGAAACATTTTTTATATGGTAGTTTGGCTGGAACATCTTATAAGGACCAGTCAATAGATTTCTGAAGAGGTTTATGTTACAATGGTGTCTCACAAAGATCCTTAGGACATCCTGTTCCTAGAAGCACTGTCGTGTGTTGGAATCTCTTAGAATAAAGTAAGTTTGTTCTTCAATCTAGCGTTTTCTTCAAACCCATGCTGCATATTATTCACATGTAGGAAACTCTAAATATTTTGTATCAAACACTAACAATTAAAAACCCACATTCCACATACCTGAGATTTGTTGGTGCTGTTGGATGTGTTAGTGGTTTGGGTGCTTTGCATTTTGCCAACTGCCTGAGAGGACTCCAGGGATACATCTTGCGACCCTACTCGGTTCCCAGTGGACGGACGGCAAAGCAGCTGTTTCGGGGTTTTGCATGGTGTTGCATCGGAATCCTAACACAAGTCACATGAGTTATAATGTGACATATTAGTAATTTAGATACTCAATATTCAGAAAGAAAAACAATTTTGGTTAAAGTACTCTCTAGACTAAATTTAAACATTTGGGAGTTAAAAGAAGCACACTGAGGAATTTACAAAATTAATTGTTTGTTTAAATTTTCCTCTAAACATTTAAAGTGACTGATTTTATCAGAGAGCTTCTGTTCATTGTTAAATCCACTGCCCACATCTTACCTTGAAGGAGCTCACAGAGGTCTGAGTTTATTTGTTTTTTTATTTATAGAAAATGAAAGAGTATGGTAAAGAGTGAGGAACCTAGGTCCTAGTCCCTGGCTTCAGCCAGACACAAGATGTCATTTGTCTGTAATGACAAATCAGTGATCATTCCAACCAAACATACTGGTGTGGGTGGGTGCAGACTTCCCAGCGACAGTGGGCTGAGCCCCACCTGTTTCTGGGCTGCTTGGGCCATGACAATGCTACGTCTCTCTGCAGGTCTCCACCCTGGCCCTGGCACTTTACCCAGTATCTCAGAGTCGCAGTCTCTCACTTCCCAAGACTCCATCTCCCTGTGTCTGTGACATCTAGCTTGGCATTCTGTCCTCCAGAGCATACTGCTCTAGGAACAAAAGGGCAAACGGGGAGATTTTGCACAGGAGGATTTATGATTCCATATTGACACACGGTCATCAACAACATACAATATTTAGATTACTTTTCATGTCCTATACTTAATAAAGTTAAAATCAAACAGGTAAGCCTGCTTTAGATATCAAATCAGTAAACTACAAATTAACCTTGATTTTAAAAGGTAACTTACGTTATAATTGACACATAAATTCTATCAGGATGGGGGAAGAAAAAAAATTCTATCAGGATAGAAAGAGAAAGTAGATTAGAAATTACCAGAGGATAAGGGAGGGAAGGAAGAATTAGGAGAAACTACTACTAAATGCAGGGTTTCTTCTTGGGGTATGGAAATGTTCTAGAATTACTGGAGATGGCTGCACAACATTGTGAATATGTTCTAAAAACCACTGAATTGTACATTTTTAATGCTGAATTTTATGTTAATCATACCTCAATTTTAAAAAATTTGGCTGGGCACAGTGGCTCACACCTCTAATCCCAGCACTTTGGGAGGCCTAGGCGGGTGGATCACGAGGTCAGGAGATCGAGATCATGGTGAAACCCCGTCTCTACTAAAAATACAAAAGATTAGCCAGGTGCGGTGGCAGGCACCTGTAGTCCCAGCTACTCGGGAGGCTGAGACAGGAGAATGGCGGGAACCCGGGAGGTGGAGCTTGCAGTGGGCCAAGATCACACCACTGCACTCCAGCCTGGGCAACAGAGCGAGACTCCGTCTCAAAAAACAAAAAAAACAAAAAAACAAATAAAATTCAACCAGGAAGCTGAAAAAAATTGAGTGAAAGAAGCTTTACACAAAAGTATATTCTATGTGGTTCCATATATATGAAATTCTGAAACAGGCAAAACTAACTATGGTGTTAAAAAGTCATAACAGCTGGGCTCACACCTGTAATCCCAGCACTTTGGGAGGCCAAGGTGGGCAGATCACAAGGTCAGGAGCTCGCGACCAGCCTGGCCAACATGGTGAAACCCCATCTCTACTAAAAAAAGAAAAAATTAGCTCGGTGTAGTGGCACATGCCTGTAATCCCAGATACTCAGGAGGCTGAGGCAGGAGAATCGCTTGAACCCAGGAGGTGGAGCTTGTGGTGAGCGAAGATCATGCCATTATATTCCAGCCTGGGTGACACAGCAAGACTCCGTCTCAAAAAAAAAAAAAAAAGAAAGAAAGAAAAATGTTAAAGGCCAAGTGGGGTGGCTCATGCTTGTAATCCCAGCAATTTAGGAGGTTGAGGTGGGTGGATCACGAGATCAGGAGTTCAAGACCAGCCTGACCAACATAGTGAAACCCCGTCTCTACTAAAAATAAAAAAAATTAGCCAGGCACGGTGGTGTGCACCTGGCTGCAAAAAAAAGAAAGAAAGAAAAATGTTAAAGGCCAGGTGGGGTGGCTCATGCTTGTAATCCCAGCTACTCAGGAGGCTGAGGCAGGAGAATCGCTTGAACCCGGGAGGCAGAGGCTGCAGTGAGCCAAGATCACACCACTGCACTCCAGCCTCGGCGACAGAGCGAGACTCCATCTCAAAAAAAAAAAAAAAAAATCGTAACAGTGGTTCCCTCTGAGGGTGGGGTTAGGGATTGATGAAAGAATCATGAGCTTGCTCTTTGGGTTGATGGTAATATTTGTACCTTATTAGGATTTTGGGCTATACATGTGTATGTATGTATTTGATAAAATTTAGTGAACATATGAGCAAGTAACCTAGACCATGAAAGTAAAAAAATTAGGGAAATTAAAAAAAAAAATTTAGTAAATGTACAATTAAGATTTCCTTATATGTTAATTTCATATCAAAAGGAAAAAATAGGCTGGGCACGGTGGCTCACGCCTGTAATCCCAGCACTTTGGGAGGGTGAGGCAGGTGGATCACTTGAGTTCAGGAGTTTGAGACCAGCCTGGCCAACAAGGTTAAACCCCGTCTCTACTAAAAATACAAAAAAATTAGTCCTGTGTGGTAGCAGGCGCCTGTAATCCCAGCTACCCAGGAGGCTGAGACAGGAGAATTGTTTGAACATGGGAGGCGGAGGTTGCAGTGAGCTGAGATCATACCACTGCACTCCAGCCTGGGCGACAGAGGGAGACCCTGTCTCAAAAGAAAAAAAAAGGAAAAAACAATAAACAAATATTGGAGTCTGGCTACAAGGATGCACAAGCTACAGTACTCTAGGGGAACTGATGTCTGTAATCTACTTTGAAATAGATCAAAGAATAAGATGAATTAATGGATAGAGTGATGGATAGACAGGTATGAGATAAGCAAGTAAAAGGTTAATGGCAGAATCTATTGGTGAGTACATGAATGCTCACTAAAATTTGTTCACTTTTGCTGTATGCTTGAAATTTTTCATAACAAAATGTTGAGAAAAAGTACAAGCATGGAAGTTATTAAAATATCCCAGTAAAATGTAAGCAAAGGAAGTAGCCTTAGCCTTCAAGACAGCATTAACCCCAGCAAGAGAACGTGCATGCGTCTGAGTTCAGAAGAGCTGAGGCTATCATACTTACTACATCGCTAGAGCTGGACTGTGTGGCAGAAGAGGACGACACTGGACCTGATGAAGAGTTTGAAGAGTGTTTACTAAGAGATTCCGAGGTTTTACTTCTACATTTTCCAAGGGCTTCATTTTCTTCAGATAGATTATTATTACATTTATCTAACTGCTGAGTATCTACTATCAAGGTAACACCATTTCCTGAAAGAGTGGCAAAAGATTGGAAAACGTTTCTTCCCATTAAACGCACACAACACAGAAAAGCCTCTAATACTCAGTCAATCGACCAAGGAAAATATCTTACCATTGCATGAAGGCTCAGGTCTATTCTTCAAGCCCCACTGCTTTGATATCCAATCTCTGTATGTGGCGACTTCATCTGTTACTCTAATTATTCTACCTAGTATGCTGCACGTGTTTAAAAAGAAAGAGAGAGGGAGGGAATAACATTAATTTGAAGATAAGAAGCCACAACCAATTTTGACACAATGGGCTGGTTACACATGAACTTTTACCTTTCTGTTTCATTGTTGGGATAGTACTTTGCTATTGGTGATACAGCATGACTCAAAACAACGTAGGCATAATCAAAGGCCTGCTTCACTTGCATGGCCCCATATGAACTCCTTCCAACATCATTACCTTTAAAAGAAATATAGGTAACACAGTAAGCTTGACTGTGCTTAATGTGCACTAAATGTTGACGACCCTCTTCCAGGAGAGCAAGGGCCATAGCTATCCCACCAGAGTTGTGCCTGGAAGCTGAGCTGTGAGCTGTTCCCAAAGCTCCCCAGTCTCTGAATATGTGCATCATGCAGTTGGTACTTCATTATGGTGTATCAGTTGTCGAAATGTATTCTGGCCCATCAAGAACTATCCCATTCCAAACATAAACAGTTATGCAAACAAAAGAAATAGCGCCCTGTTCACTCCTAAGAGTGAAACCCCAAGTTACATTAGAAATACTTCTATATTTTTTGGGTTTATATTAGCTATATATCTATTTATCACTCTAAATTATGAGCCCCTAAAAAGCAAGGATCATCTCGCTGAAAAGTCTTCGTGTCCTTTGGCCCAATGCTTTTGAACACAGCAGGCTCCCAATCAATGTAATGTTTTCTCAGTGAATAAACACATAGAACTATTAATGTTTATAAGGCAGCTCAATAAGCCAGAAATGGTTCCTAGGCAACTACTGTATCTTTTCACTCCCTTTCCTTACTCATTTTCAAAGTTTACACATTAAAGCAAATGACTAAAAGCACTTCCACTGAAGTCCAACAACGCAGAATCTAAATATTTTACAATTATATCAAGAAAAAATATTGCTCAGAAAAATCAGGACACAAGCAAGCAAACAGAACTTCAAAAAAGCATGGAAGGAATTTACTTTCTGCTTACTTTCAAGCCCACACGAAGCTGGAAAAAGCACAAAGAGACATGCAAAATCAAAGAGGAAAGGAGAAATTCAAAAAGAAAATACATTGTCTCCTTGCATCCTTCTGCTCATGAATTCAAAGATATATTACTGTGCTTGCTGCCTCTAAGGACTTCAGAATCATCTCATTAAAGCCTCATTAATTGCTGACAACTGGTTATAATCAAGGCAATAAGGACCCAAGAAAAAGGAGAAGCAGCCACCAAACATGAATCCATCCAAATAAGTAATGCCTTTTCTACTATGCTTTTAGGGTTAAACAGATTCTACTCCCTACTTATCTGGAAGTCTCCAAGGTGTTTTTCTATTGTCTGTGTCTCTTTATTTTAGTATGTTTGCTCATGAAATATTTTGATGAAAAAAGAATAACAATTAGAAGTTGTTCCTTCATTTTTCATCTAAAGAGAATTTAAAGTATAATAAGGTGACTGACAGTGCCCTCTCTTTGAATGCCCAAAAATTTACCTAATTTCAATACCTGGTTGTAAAGGATCTTCGATATAAAGCATTGATGGCCTGTAGCCATCTAGCATATTTTTCTGTACTTCATCTTTGGCCACATATGAACCACCATCCTTTATCCGGATGCCAGTCTTTAAATAATTGAAGTGTCGTCCATATAATTCAAAAAATTCTATTAAGAGAACACCATAGTTTGTATTGGGGATGCAAGCATCTTCCCTGGGATGTAACTAAAAGCAGAAAAGAAGAAATTATATTGGATTTTTGCTAAATTATCAAGGAGAGGGGGAATAAATTATATTCTAACTTCTACAAGCAATATTATTATAATTTTGGTTTAGCATAGCAGTCAATTGATAATGGGATAACAGCAGCCTATACTGCTGTTACACACAACACTAAAGTCCCATGGTGCGGGAATGGTGGGAGACTGTTTGTAAGGCTGAATTTTACAGGTGCACCAGGCTGCCGACCAGGGCTGGCTTGGCCCAAGACATCAGCAAAGTCGTTCTGACTCACGAATAGACTCAGGCAGCTGGCAACCCTGCGCCACATAAACACACCCATTTACAATACTAAGACTCAAATTTGCTCATCCAAATAGCAGATCTCAATTCCAACTAAACTTACAAGATTTAGCTGCTTAGAAGACATTCTTATTGCTGGCACTTATACTATTTACGCTTATGGAAACCAGGCCGTACATTCTGCATGTTAAAATTTGCAGTGAAAAGTCTCAAAAATACTAGAATATATGGGATTTAAAACCAAAAATATTCTTTCACAGAAATTTAAAAATATGTATTTGCTAAATGATAAAAATGTACCCAGTTTAAAGGGAAAAACCGTAAGTAATCAAGGAAAACAATGCAATTACAGGTTGATTTTGATTTTTTCCAAAATGTTTCCCAGCTGATTGATCACTTTTGCTTTTAGTGTGCACTAGCATGGTATACCCATATGACTTACCTGAAGGAAACTGACTGCCATTAAAAAGAGACTATAAGAACCAATTCCACCTGTAAATACTTCATTAAGGTCCCTCTGCAATAGGAATTGTTTCAATACTAAAACCAAGTATGGCAATACAGGATATTTCTGAAAAAGAAAATTGTATTTTCAATGAATTCCTGTATCAGCAACAGATCTAAGCATTAAGAGGGGGCATAAATTGGTCCTTACATTATAAAATTTGGTAGCGATATACAACATACTTAATTTTCCATTCTAAGAGTAAGCTATTAAAAAAAAGTAAACTATAGGTAATGAATGGTTCTCCCCTTATATCTAAAATGTAAGACATGTACACAGGAATAATAGCATCTAAGTACTTGCTACAGGGCTGGGCATGGTGGCTCATGCCTGTAATCCCAGCACTTTGGGAGACCAAGGCAGGCAGATTACCTGAGGTCAGGAGTCAGAGACCAGCCTGGCCAACATGATGAAACCCTGTGTCTACTAAAAATACAAAAAACAGCCAGGAGTGGTGGCAGGAGCCTGTAATCCCAGCTACTTGGGAGGCTGAGGCAGGAGAATCACTTGAACCCGGGAGGCAGAGGATGTAGTGAGGCGAGATCGTGCCATTGCACTCCAGCCTGGGCGACAGAGCAAGAATCCGTCTCAAAAAAAAAAAAAAAAAAAGTACTTGCTATAGGATAGAAACACAAACAGCATGTAACTGATGATGCTCATTTGTGACCATGACCCTCTAATATTCATTTGTAAACAGATAATAGAAAGAGTACAAGGACAAAGTCACCAACATCTTAAAGCACTAAATCAGTGAGATTTTTAAGAATCACTTTTCTTGGTGGCGCGCCACTGTAGACTAGGGACCTTTAGATTATTCTGCCACAGTCCTGGGGCAAACAAGAATCCGGCCTGCTGACTTACACATGGGCTGATGACTACAAACAGACCACCCCTCCCTTCCACGCTTTACAGGGAATGAGGCAGGGCTATCCTAGAGAACACCTGAACGGACAAGTATGTACAGAATGAGTCCACCTTTTGCTGTGCACATATTCATTCACTCCTCTCTGTAAGCCATGCCATAGGCTGAGGCCACTGAGGAAAACAAAGCAGGCACAACATCTTCAAAGAAGTCTTAACAGCTATTATTACTTAGGGTGGTAAAATTACTAGTTATTTCCATTTTTCTCCCCCTCACTCTGTCACCCAGGCTGGAGTACAGTAGCACAATCTTGGCTCATTGCAATCTCCAGCTCCTGGGCTCAAGTGATCCTCCCACCTCAGCCTACAACACCCAGCTAATTTTTGTATTTTTGTAGAGACAGGGTTTTACCACTGGTCTTGAACTCCTGAGCTGGTCTTGAACTCCTGAGCTCAAGTGATCTGCCTGCCTGGGCCTCCCAAAGTGTTGGGATTACAGGTGTGAACCATAGCACCTGGCCAGTGATTTCTATTTTTTTCTTTACTCTTATCTCTGTTTTCTAGATGTCCTACAGTGAACACGCATGGCTTCTATAAAAAAGAAAAAAAAAAAAAGCTTATACTTTTGCAAATTGTATCAAACTAAGCAAGCATAGGAAAGAACAAAAATATGGAGAAGTAAGTATTTTTAAACATTGTGGGCTGGGCACGGTGGCTCACGCCTGTAATCTCAGCACTTTGGGAGGCCGAGGTGGGCAGATCACTTGAGGTAGGGAGTTCGAGACCAGCCTGGCCAACATGGAAAAACCCCATCTCTACTAAAAATACAAAAATTAGCCGGGCGTGGTGGCACACGTATGTAGATCCAGCTATTCTAGAGGCTGAGGCACAAGAATCATTTGAACTCGGGAGGTGGAGGGTACAATGAGCCAAGATCGCACCACTGCACTCCAGCCTGAGTGACAGAGCAAGACTCTGTCTCAAAAAAAAAAAAAAAAAAAAAACACATTGTAGTTAAGTCAGTCTAGATACAGTTCCCTTCCAAAGAACAATAAGGGGTCAGGTTTGGTGGCTCATGCCTGTAATCCCAACATTTTGGGAGGTCAAGCAAGGAGGACTGCTTGAGCCCAGGAGTTTAAGAACAGCCTGGGCAACATAGCAAGACCTCATCTCTATTTTAAAAAAAGGAAAAAAAAAAGGGGGGGGGCCACATAGCAAGACCTCATCTCTATTTTAAAAAAAGGAAAAAAAAAAGGGGGGGGGCCACATAGCAAGACCTCATCTCTACTTTGAAAAAAAAAAAAAGTGGCCAGGCTTGGTGGCTCACGCCTATAATTCCAGCACTTCGAGAGGCTGAGGAGGGCGGATCACCTGAGGTCGGGGTTTGAGACCACCCTGGCCAACATGATGAAACTACATCTCTACTAAAAATACAAAAATTAGCTGAGCGTGGTGGTGAGCACCTGTAATCCCAACTACTCAGGAGGATGAGGCAGGAAAATCGCTTGAACCCAGGAGGCGGAGGTTGCAGTGAGCCAAGATCACGCCTCTGCACTCTAGCCTGGGCAACAGAGTGAGACTCCATTTAAAAAAAAAAAAAAAAAAAAAAAAAAGTTAGCCAGGTGTGGTAGGCCCGCTTGTGATCCCAGATACTCATGCTAAGGTGGGAGGATCACTTGAGCCCAAGAGGCTGAGGCTGCAGTGAGCCATGATCACTGCACTCTAGCCTGGGTACCAGAGTGAGACCCGGTGTCAAAAAATGAAAGAAAGGAAGAAAAGGAAGAAGGAAGGAAAAGGGAAAGGGGAAGGAAGAAAAGGAGAAAAGAAAAGAAAAGAAAAGAAGAGGAAGGGAAAGAAAAAGAGAGAAAAGAGAAAGGGAGGGACAGAGGAAGAGAGAGAGGGATAGGGAGAGGGAGAAGAAAAGGGGGAGGGAGAGAGAGAAAATGAGAATATGAAAGAATAAATAATTAGGGAAATATCTAACGCAGTTTTACCTGGATATACCCTTCGACCTCAAAATTTTGCTTCTGGGACTCTTCCTACAGACATTTTGCACGTGTAAAGCAAGATGCATGCATGGAAGTATGTTCGTCAATCCCTTTTTCTAACAGCAAAAGAAAAACTGGAACAACACTGAAGAACTGCTAAATCAAGCAGCCACAGTCTTACAAAAGACTACTGCCTGTGTAACCAACAAAAAGAATAAAGCAAGCCTCTATGTGTCAATAAGGAAGAAACCTCCAAAACATTAAGTTTTTACAAAGGTATGAGACAATGTGTGTATAATGTGCTACTCCTTTTGCTTATAATTTGAAAGAACATAAAAAAGCAACACAAAAAATAATAACTGGCAATGAGAAATTCTATAAAAATGATCTAAGTATCTATGGTGTAAGGGTGACTCACTTTACACCATCTCTTCATACTGATGAATGTTATCATGCATACGAATTTCAATTTTTAAAAGCTTTTTTCCAGAAAAATATTAGACAGGCGCACATGCACACACACATACACACACCCAATATAGTGAGATTATGGATAATATTTCTTTTATTTTTCTGCTTTTCTGTCTTCCATACATTTATGCAAGATGATAATGCTTGCAACATCAAGTAGTTAACATTTTTTCTTAAAAAACAAAGAAGAAATAGAAACTTTAGAGCTGCTTGAGAAAAAAAAAATTGTGAATATTCTAACAGAAGCCAAAGGAGTTAATGGTTTAGGTTAGACAGGAGAAAGCTGACAACTATCTAAGTATGTAAAATGTTCCACAGATAATGGTGACAAATTCTTCTCTATCTTGGAAGAAAATAGAATAGAAATAAACTTAAATCATTTCAAAATAGAAGTAAGGAAGCCTGTAGGAAACACCTTAAAGGTAATTTAGGGATTGAAATCTAGAAAATGCTCTTAAAACTCTTAACCTATTTCCTGTTTAGAAAAAAAAAGAGTACAGCCGGGCACAGTGGCTCACGCCTGTAATCCCAGCACTTTGGGAGGCTGAGGTGAGCAGATTGCAAGGTCAGGAGTTCAGGACCAGCCTGGCCAATACGGTGAAACCCCATCTCTACTAAAAATACAAAAATTAGCCAGGCATGGCGGCGGGTGCCTGTAGTCCCAGGTACTTGTGAGATCGAGGCAGAAGAATTGCTTGAACCTGGGAGGCAGAGGTGGCAGTGAACCAAGATCGCACCACTGCACTCCAGCCTGGGTGACAGAGCGAGACTCTGCCTCAAAAAAAGAAAAAAAAGAAAGTGCAGCTCACTGCCCGCGCAGTATTCTTGGGGCAAACAGGAAATGGGTTAAAGGAAAGGTTCTTAATCTGAACTCCTGAAGGTTAAAAACAGATGGAATCAACTGTGTAGCAGAATTCCATCCCTTCTGTCTCTACAAGGAAGGATCTAGAGCAGACAATTTCTTCAAAAGCTTTCTCAACTTTTAATTCTTACTTGAGGTCACATTATAAGTTAGTCACTGATCATTACAAGCAGATTCAAAGAAAGCAAAACCATTGCATACAAAAGTAAGGTGCAGGCTGAGCATGGTGGCTCATGCCTATAATCCCAGTGCTTTGGGAGGCTGAGGCAGGAGGACTGCTTGAGCTTAGGGATTGGAGATTAGCCTGAGCAACATGGCGAAACCCCTTCTCTACAAAAAAAAAAAAAAAAAGCCAGGTGTAGTGGCTCACGCCTGTAGTCCCAGCTACTTGGGAGGCTGAGGTGAGATGATCACTTGAACCCAGGAGTTTGAGGCTGTAGTGGGTCATGATCCAGCCACTGAACTCCAGCTTAGGTGACAGAGTGAGACCCTAGCTCTATTTTAAAAAGAGAGAGAGAGAGAGAGGTGTTTGTCAGCAACATGCATATAAAAATATTAGACCACCACCACAACAGAATCTTAAAATTACGTTTCTAATAGTTTTATTGTATAAACACTAAATTCTCTGACCTTGGTAAAATCTTTGATGAGGTCAGCTGCTCTCACGCCATTCTGTACATTAAAGCTGATATCAACTTTCACTTCAGTAAAAGAATCTGTTAGTTTAATAATAGGTACCTATAAAGAGAAGAAAGGTAAAATGTAAATGCTTTAACCAGATTAAATGACAAAATCAAGGGATGGAGGGTTACTAGACATGAGGTCTCCATCATCTCATGCGAGCATAAGAACACTGAGTATTCTAAATATGGCACACCCCAGTAACCCTGGACTGCTACAAATACCATATGTTGCATATTTAGCATTGGGCCCCATACAATATATTTTGTAATTTCTATAAATTGAGAATTTTGTTTGGTGTCCAATTTTTGATTATTTATTTTTATTGTTTATATCTAAGGCATACATGTTTTGATATACTTATGCTTGATATACATACTGAAGTGATTACCACAGTTAAGTAAATTAATATGCCCATCATCTCGTTTATTAGTTGACATATAGTTATAATAATTTTAAAATTATCTAACAAAAACCTTCCTCAATACTTTGGAGAACACTTTCTGAGTATAAGATGAAGAACGATGAATACTAGGTATTAAATGTTTTGTATCATCAAACTGTTTCTAATAAGAAAATTGCTGGATTCTTAAGATATACACTACAACCCCCTTGCATTACTGGTCAGTTTTGCAAATAGCCCAAAAAGCAACCTGACAAGATAAGATATAAAAATTATTCTCAAAAACTGACATGATTATTTACATGAGCTATCAGGAGTTCTTTTCAAAAAATGCTCCAACTTGGGCAACACAGGGAGACCCTATCTCTACAAAAAAAATTTTTTTTTAAATAAACAAGGCATGGTAGGGTGCGCCTGTAGTCCCAGCTACACATAAGGCTGAGGTGGGAGGATCACTTGAGTCCAGGAGTTAGGGAACAGCCTGGGCAACATAGTGAGACTGTATCTCTCTCTAAAAAAATGAATAAAATATTGCTGGGCGCAGTGGCTCACGCCTGTAATCCCAGCACTTTGGGAGGCTGAGGCGGGGAGGCTTACGAGGTCAGGAGATTGAGACCATCCTGCCTAACACAGTGAAACCCCGTCTCTATTAAAAATACAAAACATGAGCCGGGAGTGGTGGCAGGCGCCTGTAGTCCCAGCTACTCGGGAGGCTGAGGCAGGAGAATGGTGTGAACCCGGAAGACGGAGCTTGCAGTGAGCTGAGATCGCGCCACTGCACTCCAGCCTGGGTGACAGAGCAAGACTCTGTCTCAAAAAAAAAAAAAATAATGCAAATGAATAAAACAAACATCTGTACAGTGAGTACTGTGTGTGATAAAATTGGGTATTCTGCTGTTGTTAAAAGAAATGCAGGCCAGGTGCAGAGGCTCACACCTGTAATCCCAGCACTTTGGGAGGCAGAGGTGGGTGGATCACTTGAGCCCAGGAGTTGGAGATCAGTCTGGGCAACACGGTGAAACCCCGTCTCTACAAAATTTACAAAAAAATTAGCCAGGCATGGCAGGCTGTGTCTGTAGTCCAGCTCCTCGAGATGCTGAAGTAGAAGGATCACTTGAGCCGAGGAGGTACAGGTTGCAGTGACCCAAGATTGTGTGGTCACAATCCAGCGTGGACAACCAGAAAACTTTTTATGTGCAAGCACGGTGACATTAACAAAATGAAAGAATCACTCACTTGCAATGTAACTGTGCTCACCAAACTTTAATTTTAATTCAAGTTTCATAGGTAAATAACCAAGGTTTAATATGAAATGCTGCAGAACTTACAGTTGCTTTGTCTAAAACTTTCACCGAATCCTCATCTGCGACTTTGTGTTTCCGAAGAGCTTCTTCCAGAGTCCAGAGGGGTAGGTTCTCCCACTTCCCAAACACCACTAGGTCGATGTCACTGAACACAGAATACATATACAAGAGGGTCTGAAGAAGCTGGAAACTTGTTTTAACTGACACTCATGCTTACAGACTTCATTAGTACAATTAAAACCTATTTCCCACCCTGGCCAACAAAGACTAAATGTGTTAGTGATAATGGTTTTGTGGAGAGGGGAAATAGTAGTTGTTGATTTTAACAAACTCCTCCTCCCAGTCATTTCACAGAATTCAGGTCTCAGGAAATAGGGTAATTTTGAAAGAAGTAAAACCTCAAAAAAAAAAAAGGCACTTAACGTCCTTTCCTTAATAAAGGCTTCCGGTACTAGACATAATGATTTTCCTATCTGGATGAGATTAATTGCAACTCAGAAATATTATGAAGTGCTTTAAACTGGATGCAGACCAAGTATCCAGCATGCTACCATTTGTGTTAATACACACACATGTCCTTTTATATGCACAGGTATCTCTGAAAGGATATGTGAGAAATTGGTAAAAGTGGCTGTTCTGGCTGGGCGTGGTGGCTCACACCTGTAATCCCAGCGCTTTGGGAGGCCAAGGTGGGCAGATCACGAGGTCAGGAAATTGAGACCATCCTGGCTAACACGGTGAAACCCTATCTCTACTAAAAAATACAAAAAAATTAGCCGGGCACAATGGCAGGCGCCTGTAGTCCCAGCTACTCGGGAGGCTGAGGCAGGAGAATGCCGTGAACCCGGGAGGCGGAGCTTGCAGTGAGCCGAGATCGCGCCACTGCACTGCAGCCTGGGCGACAGAGCCAGACTCTATCTCAAAAACAAAACAAAACAAAACAAAAAAACAAGTGGCTGTTCCACGGAGAACCAGGGGGCAGAGGTGGGACTGAGACTTTTCCCTGTATTGATTTTTGTGCCTTTCCCAAATGTGAACTATGTGAATGTACTACGTATTCATAAAATTTAATTAAATTTTTTAAGAAAGAGTGATTTTTCATGTTTTACTGAGGCTGAGAACCTAAGTAAGAAATATGAACTCGAAGTTGAGTATTTTATGACTTTTGCAGGCCAAGGACATCTATGGGAAGAATGGAAATTGCCAGGGTCCACCCACTTCAGCACACTTTAAGTTGGGCTAAAGTGTACCAAATCAAGCTCAAATGGAAAAACATGACGCTGACTTTATTCTGGAGAGATTAAGTAATAATAGTAATAACCATGACGGAATGTTCAAACAATTTCAATTCTTAGAGAGCAAGTATTCACCCTTCAGGGAAACATCATTTCCAAAAGAAAGCCTCCAAGGCTGTGCATCAAGAGAGGTCTCATTTGAGAAGACTGAAACTGAACAAGAGTCCTGAAAGGCCAAGATCTTTCTCAGAGAAGAGATCTGTACCTGAATTTCTGGATCAGGATGCTGGAGCCATAACTAGTAGAATTGAGTTCTTAATTTGAAAGCGAGAGTGAGAGAGTGAGTGAGTGAGTGAGACAGTGGGAACTCACATTCTAGAGGATATACAATCAGACATTTTATCATGAGACTACATTAACATCTGTGTCAGTGGGTTAAGTTATGGGACTGAGCAATACTCTGCCAGGTAGTCAATTTCTAAAATTAGTAACTAACTGATTCCACTGCAATATGATCCCTTTTCCATCTCTCTGTACCATCTACATCTTGGAGATGTGAAGTGATATTCTACTTCAAGGTAAATCAAATTAAATGCTGGTAAATCCTTTACTTTTTTATTTTTTATTTTTATTTTATTTATTTATTTTTTTGAGACAGAGTCTCGCTCTGTTGCCCAACCTGGAGTACAATCTCAGCTCACTGCAACCTCCATCTCCCGAGTTTAAGCAATTCTCCTGCCTCAACCTCCGGAGTAGCTGGGATTATAGGCGCGTGCCGCTACACCCAGCTAATTCTTGTATTTTTAGTAGAGATGGAGTTTCACCATGTTGGCCAGGCTGGTCTTGAACTCCTGACTTCAAGTGATCCGCCCTCCTCGGCCTCCTGAATTGCTAGGATTACAGGCGTGAGCCACCATGCCCAGTCCCATTTTTGTTTTATAAATTTGTTTTGTTTCTACTCCTTACAAATTTGACAGCCAAAACGAATACACTCTAGGAAAAGGTACAGTCCTTTAAAAGATTCATGAGTGTACTAACCTAGTAGGTAAATATAGTCCAGTTTTAAAACTTCCAAATATCTGGACCTGAAACAGAAAAAGAAGTTATTATATTGAGGTATCAGATAAAGTCACCAAGATATGGAGAAATGTCAGTTTTTGCTACCCTCTACTGGTACTTTTCGGTATGACAAGAGTATTTTTTTTTCTAACCCCATTCTTCATGAAGTGGGCATTCTGTTTCACAAGCAGACATTCTGAATATAATTTCAACTTACCTGGTTCAAATATGAAACACAGAGACCAAAATACAGTTGTCCCTTGGTATCGGCAGGAGACTGGTTCCAGTCCCACTATGCCAAAATCTGAAGATGTTAGAGTCACTGCTATAAAATGGTGGAGTATTTGCATATAACTATGCGAGTCCTCCCATATACTTTACATCATCTTTAGATTACTTATAATACCTAGTACAATGTAAATGCTATCTAAATAGTCGTTATACTGTATTTTAAAAATAACTTGTATTGTTTTTATTGGTGCATTGTTATTTTAATAGTTTTTTTCTGAATATTTTCAATCCACTGTTGGTTTAATATGGAGGTGTGGTACTTAAGGATACAGAAAGCCAACCACAGGAAACTTCCAGAAGTAGTTCAGATCAATAATGTTCCCTCATTATCCAGAGACACAATCACAAATCCTTAATTTTTGTTCTCTGAGCAGGAGACTTCGAATAGATTACTAAATTGGGATCAGACTAACTGTAGGGCAAGTGTGGGCCTTTAGGTCAATTCCACAGAGAACACCAGGCACCATCATTTTATAACATCGTGCTGTGGCATAAAACTGGGATGCATTCCAGCTCAACCCATGGAGAACAGGGGAACTCAGGCAGAAATACGTATGCAGGTAATTGTAATAAAAAAGGATAGGCCGGGCACAGTGGCTCACGCCTTTAATCCCAGCACTTTGGGAGGCCGAGGCAGGTGGATCACCTGAGGTCAGGAGTTCACGACCAGCCTGGCCAACATGATGAAACCCCATCTCTACTAAAAACACAAAAATCAGCCAGGTGTGGTGATGGGTACCTGTAATCCCAGCTACTCAGGAGGCTGAGACAGGAGAATTGCTTGAACCTGGGAGGCAGAGGCTGCAGTGAGCTGAGATCATGTCACTGTGTCACTGCACTCCAGCCTGGGCGACAGAGCAAGACTCCATCTCAGGGCGGGGGAAAAGGATAAACAGTGAAACAAGTTCAACCTCTGAGGCGAGATGGACCTGGGAACCTAAACCACAAGCTCATGTTCCTCATCTGTAGGTAGACAGATGATGGCTGGCTGGCTGGCTGGAGAGAGAGAGAGAGATAGTCAACCTCCACCTAAGAAAGATAAGGGTTAAATTAGACCAGGGCTTCTCAACATTGGCATTTGGGAGTGGATAATTCTTTGTTGTAAGGGCCTATACTGTTCATCACACAATGGCTGGCGGCATCCATGGCCTCTACCCACTAGGTACTAGCAGTGCATACCCAGCCAGGACAATCAAAAATGTCTCGGACATTGCCAAACGCCCCCCTGGAGAGCAAAATAATCACCGGCTAAGAACCACTGATTTGGATCACATAGGAGAAAGAATGTGACATATGGTCACTGTTCATAAAATATTAGTATCCTCGCCTTTTCCCTTTACCTACAGCGTCATATATATACTGTCATATACATGCAAGTTTTACATACAGTGAAACTTCCTTGTTTTGCCAATTGGACAAAAACACCACCCAGGACAGTGCCTAAAGAAAAGTTACAGAACACAAAGTAATGGATTCTATTATTTTGTTACTTCTTTGCATACACAAAATCATAAAACAGGCCCTCAAAGTGCCCTAAAAAGTGAAGTATTAACTTAGTACCAGTAACAGGCCAAGTGTGGTGGCCCACGCCTATAATCCTAGCACTTTGGGAGGCCAAGGCGGGCAGACTGCTTGAGCCCAGGAGTTCAAGACCAGCCTGGGCAACACAGTGAGACTCAGTCTCTACAAAAAAATACGAAAATCAGATAGGTGTGGTGACGTGCACCTGCGGTCCCAGCTACTCGGGATGCTGAGGTGGATCACTTGAGCCCAGGAAATCAAGGCTGCAATGAGTCATGATCGCACTACTGCACTCCAGCCTCAGCAACAGAGTGAGACCCCTATCTCAAAAAAAAAAAAAAACAAAAGACTTGGTACCAGTAACAAAAACAACAAATAAGCCAAGAAGAAATCCCAAGCAATCATTTTGTTCACTGACTGGGAGCTGTCTAAAAGGCAATTAGCTGGTCTGAGAGAGATGAAAAATGGCAATTTCAGGAAAGAAATAAGAAAAGACTTATGCCTGCATTAGCCACAAGTGACAAAATTTCGTACTTGACATTTTCATTCAGCTGTAAACAATTATATAATGTTTACTCTGGCAGGCTGGAACTAAGTAGTAATGAGGTTTTGATATATCATATCCAATAACAGACCACTACAACAATGAGGTTTGATTTGTCTTTCTTCTCTTTACACTAATAATTTCTAACAATAGCTTGCCTTTAGTAGTTGCTATTAGCACTACAAAAAAAAAAAAAAGTTGTTAGTCATCCAATCCAATGAAAATAATTAGTAAGCCTCAAATTCTAAAGACTGCAGAAAATTCTTTGCCATTAAAATTTAATTAGACCACAACTCTACAGTGCACTTCTACTTGCATGTGAGGACTAGCATGAGATACTAGCAGATAGGCCTCTGGCCCGTGGACAAGGACTGTCCCAAGCATAGGCTACCCAGGAAGGGACTCACGTCAGCGCTGGGCCAGAGCTCCTTAATTACACTCTCGATCCTGTTCACCACCTCCATCCGCATCTTCTCTTCCTCAGGTCTTGGAGACATGTATTCATAAAAATCACTGATTTCTTCATGCAGACTGAAGAAAAAACCAGAAAAGTTAATATGAATAGGGCCAATCTAATGAGAAATCACTATCTTAAATAATCTTATTTAATTAGGTCTTATAATTCAGTTGATGACTACCTTAATTTTAATGTTATAACTCAAGATAAGCTAAAATGGGCATGTACAGAATTTAATCAAAAAAACCAAAATAATTAAATAACATAAGAAATTTCCTGTGCAAAACACTTGCTGAGGTGCTGGTGATTTAAATAAAATAAAATAAAATTTAAAAAGCATACAGCCTGGCCTCTGCCTTTCCACTTCTGATCTAATAGACACAAGAAGATACTGAATCCAGGCAAATTTCCTGGCAGTAGGGACTGACCCTCTTACCTCTTGGGGATCCATTCCTCACAGTAGCAAACAGTACGTCTTTCATAATGTTTGCTCAGTGAATTAAGTGTCAAATGAACAAATCAGGCAGTGAACAACAGCAAAGTCTTGAAAAGAATGGCTGGTAGACAAAGGCTCCATGAAGGAGCTGAAGACTTCCAGAGCCTGCAAGGTACAGGGCAATCAGCCAGCTACAAGGGCTGTGGCAGGCAGAGTGGGAGAAGCATCTGGAGAGGAAAGCAGGCCCCAGTAGAGGGCAGGCTCTGAATGACTGACTGGCTAAGAGGTTCAAGCTTTCCCCCTGTGGCAACAGAGCTATTTAAATGTTTCTGACAGGGACTAGAGAGAGACTGACTTCAAAAATGCAGCATTTTAAGAAGATTAAACTGGCAACTATGCAAACAACAGACCAGCAAAGAGACTAGACTAGATGCAGGGAAAAGTCATGAATCAAGTTGCAGGAGGATTGGATGAAGGCCTAGAAGACGGTAGAAGGAAAGGAATGGGCTCCAGAAACAAAACACACACACATACCTACACCCCGTGGCCAGGCGCAGCGCCTGGCTATCATAGTGGTGGGGGGCTAAGGATGCCTTCAAGAGCTGAAGCCTGAGGGCCTGGGGGAAAACTACTGGTCTGGAAGAAAGGACAAACTCACTGGGCTGAGCAATGACTTGAATGTAGTCAGGATGGGGGACAGAGAGAAAAGCAGCATCCCTTTCTAAGTTGGTGAGGCTATGAAGAGCTATAAATGGCTGGGAAGGGAAAGTGAAGAGGTCAGCTCACCTTCCCTAGAGCACTGACCACCCATGAGGACTGAGCCACGGAGGTAAGCACAGGGACTCTACTAACTGGGATAGACCAGAAGGCTCGGAGCAACAGGTGCAAAGCGCCTCAGGGGAAGGAAGGGGCAGAGGGGTTGGCCTGGGGCACAGCAGTGGGAAGGAAGGGCAGCCACAGCTTAACAGAGCCTTGAAGTAGGAGCATGCCTGCAATTGTGTGGCACCTTCAGGGCCCAGAGCAGGAAGCTGGAAAAACTGACAGACCAAAAATCGCTTTAGGGAAGGAAAAAAAAGTGTTTACATCCTAATCCCCAAAGGCTATAACTTGTGCTACAAGAAACTCTGGAAAGTGAAAATGTGACTGATTAAGCAATCCATAGTTCCTCCTTCTGATTTTTTATTTTTAGCCTAAGAGTCAAAAACCTTGAGTTCTAGACTCAGGTTCTGCCTGAGGGCAGCTGTGTTCCCTTTGACAGGTGACTGGCACTCTCAGGCTTCAGTGTGTCAGGTACAGCACACAGCTGGTAAGCAGGAGCCTTTTCAGGCCTTCAGTTTCAAAACCTGGGCCTTTCGCAGAGGATGATTTACAACAGCGTTCGGCCTGTTTGCTATGCAATATGTCACAAAAAGTGGATCTTAAAACTCCAGAGAGGTCTGTAGGTGAATCCAAAAGATATCCCAGTGGGGCCATTTTCCTTGCTATGCCTCTGGGTACCTTCAGGACCTTCAACTTCTGTTTTGAAGTTGTGTTTTGTTTTGATTTGAGTTTCCCAGGTTTGATTATGTTCTCTAAGGTCTCTATCTTGGTCTTCTGCTTCTTGAAGACAGCAGCTGAATGGGAATAGCTGTTAGGAAGCTTACAGTTTGCTGTGCTCTTCTGCACAAGTCAGCTGGCAAAGATGAGGGCCATGAATAAACGACAGAACAAATGGACTGCTTCTTATCTTACTGCATAGTCTGCAGTGACTGATCAGAGTTTATTCGTAGTTCTAAAACAGATCCATAGAAAAACTGCATTTTAACTAATAGGGGGGAAAAAACTCCTAAATGTGACTGCATCTATTCTGAAGGCCCCCTTACAAATTTTCTAATTCAAATAAAGGCAAAAAGTATTTAGCACAACTGTCAGTCAATATGAAGTCATAAGAAACTGATTAAGAATTCATTCTCTGGCCAGGCGAATGGCTCATGCCTGTAATCCCAGCACTTTGGGAGGCTGAGGCAGGCAGACTGCCTGAGGTCAGGAGTTGGAGACCATCTGGCCAACATGGCGAAACCCCTTCTCTACTAAAAATATAAAAATTAGCTGGGCGTGGTGGCGTATGCCTGTAATTCCAGTTCCTTAGGAGGCTGAAGCACAAAAATCACTTGAACTTGGGAGGTAGAGGTTGCAGTGAGCTGACACCGTGCCACTGCACTCCAGCCTGGGTGGTGGAGTGTGAGATTTTGTCTCCAAAAAAAAAAAAAAGAATTCATTCTCTAAACATTACCAAGTGCCTATGTTCAAGGCACTAGGAGAAAACTGGCTCATCAAACATGATCCTTGCCCTGGGTCACTTACATCTAACAATGAAAAGGTACACTTATTTAATGTAGTTTTGTAGAACATAGTGCAATGCATATGTTCTGCACTATTCTGCCATAGGCAGCTTCCAGATGAATGATTCAGAGCTTTCCAATGATCATAGCTGCCCAGGATGGACTGGGTTGCCTTGTAGGTTAGTAAGGTCCCTGTCATTATCAGCATAAAGAAACCAGATGACCATGAGGCAAACAAAGGTCCAATAAAACGGTTTTCTGAACTTGGTAAAAAGTTGGAAAAGATTCTAAAATTCACTTTCAGTGCTGCAATCTAGTATTCTAACTAGCACATTAATTTGGGGGAAAATTACTATAGATTTGTAAGACAAGCTCTGAAGACTACCCTCAACAATCAATAGCCCATGGCACCACCTTCCTATTTCAGAAAAAAATGGTTCCACAGGTTATTGTATTTTGATTGATGCACATGTGTAACTATCAATGCATATGTGCATCAATCAAAATACAATACAATTTGATTGACGCATATTTGCAATCAATTTGTATTTTGATTGATGCATATTTGCAAAATGGAAGGGGGAAAGAGGAATACGGAAAAAGAGGAGGGCTATTAAAGCCAAGCCACACTTGCAAAGTCAGAAGAGGAAATCCAATCTCAGGTCTGCCAGGCTCAGTTTCTCATCCACACCAGGCACAAGCATCACTATCTCACCTATATGTAACTAGCTACATGTGAAATACTCAGAGAACAACCAGATAAAATATCTTGGAACACTGAGGAAATAAACTTCAAGTACAGATTTTAAAATAATTCTAACAGGCTCTATCCTTGGGACTGAGTAATTTTACTGGCACAGTGCCTTGCATATTCAGGCACTTAAAATACCCTGACGGGCTGGAAGTTTGTTTGTAGAGTGTGCACTGTAAGTCTGGCTCTCATTTGAGTGGCAGAGTGGACGCCTGAGGAATTTTGTTGGCTTGCTTTCACATGGTAATATAATTTTATGCCTCTGAAAGCATTCAAGTACACAGAGAAAACTTCAGTTTGTCCCATGTTTGGATTAAAATTTAATATGATTTATGAGTAGGTATTGCTTGATGACACATGCCCAGTGTTACAGTTTCTCATATAAAATTATAAAATACATCATACTGAAGTAAGAATGATGAAAAAAAAGTATAGAATACAACTCTTCTGTGATCTGAACTCATAGGTACCCAAAATATAGTGCCCTCTCTAGGATATCAGTGTTTTTATGTTAAAAGGAAAAGTGACTCAGGCATAGTGGCTCATGCCTATAACCCTAGCATTTTGGGAGGCTGAGGCAGGTGGATCGCTTGAGTCCAGGAGTTCGAGACCAGCCTCGATGACATGGTGAAACCCCATCTCTACAAAAATACAAAAAATTAGCCAGGCGTGATGGTGCATGCCTGTAATCCCAGCTACTCAAGAGGCTAAGGTGGGAGAATCGCTTGAGCCCGGGAGACAAAGGTTGCAGTGGGCTGAGACTGTGCCTCTGTTCTCCAGCCTGGGCAACAGAGCAAGACTCCGTCTCGAAAAAACAAAAAAAAAGTTAAAAAAGGAAAAGTGAACAAGATCCCTGTTCACAAAGGAAAAGTCACATAAGAGCAATATGATGACATGAGCACCACTATATAACGGGAAAAGATGCCAAAAACAAGAGGGTAAGAGAAACAAAATTAATTTGCTGGGGTAAAATTTATATTAAAATCTCAAATTTAATAACAACATTTAATATGACAAGGAGGTGTCCAAAAAACATATTCCATATTTAAAAAATAAAACTCACAGGTAATTTAAGTTAAACAAAAAACAAAAAACAAAAAACCACTTCTGTTCTGAGGAAAGATCTGCTACAGAAAGGGAATCCAGCCTATCAAAATTATGTGAATTTTATAATGCTTGTCACAGGGTGGGAGGTTCAAGTTCTTTGGCTGGGAAAGGAAGAACCGTTTCACATCCTTCAGTTGGACCACCACCCTGGGCACGTTGTGAGTTGCTTAGTAGCTTCTGCACTCTCAAAACCAAAGGAAAGGTGGAAAACTCCCTTGTGCCTTCCAGGTCAATGGCCGCAGATGACCCACGGCCAGCCCCTCTGCTCAGCACCGTCCCCTGCGGCTCATCCATGTTTCTGTTCAGGGGTGACACTGCTTCCTAAGAGATATCTGCCCAGACAGAGCATGTCTAAGCCCACCTCCACATCAAGGTCCTGTTTTCCCAGTTCCATAACTGAAGTCAGATCCCTTTAATTACCAACTTCAAAAAAAAAAAAAGAAAGTAACACACACAAAC